CAGAACTAGTGTGCTGTGCTGGGAGAATTCCTCTTGTTAGGATCAGCTGCTGTCTTCAGAGCCAGCAGGCAGGAAAGATTAAATCCTCTGAAGCTGCGCCCACAGCTGCCCCTTCCCCCAGGTGCTCTGTCCCAGGGAGATGGGAGTTTTGTCTGCAAGCCCCTGACTGGGGCTATTACCTTTCTTTCAAAGATGTGCTGTCCAGTGAGGAGGAATCTAGAGAAGCAGTCTGGCCACAGCTGCTTTGCCACACTGTGGTGAGTTCCATCCAGTCCAGACCTCCCTGCCACCTTAGCACTGTCAGGGGAAAACTGCCTAGTAAAGCCTCAGTAATGGTGCACGCCTCTACCCCAACCAAGCTGGATCATCCCAGGTCAACTTCAGCCTGCTGTGCTGGCAGCGAGAATTTCAAGCCAGTGGTTCTTAGCTTGCTGGGCTCTGTGAGAGTGGGACGCACTGAGTGAGACCACTTGGCTCCCTGGCCTCAGCCCCCTTTCCAGGGGAGTGAACAGTTCTGTCTTGCTGGGGTTCCAGGCACCATTGGGATACGAAAAATACTCCTACAGCTAGCTAGGTGTCTGCCCAAACAGCCGCCCAGTTTTGTGCTTGAAACCGAGGGCCCTGGTGGTGTAGTCCCCTTATCTGCAGATTGTAAAAACTGTGGGGAAAGTATAGTAATCCAGCTGGGTAACACAGTCCCTCATGGCTTCCCTTGGCTGTAGGGAGGGAGGTCCCCTAGCACCTTGCACTTCCCAGGTGAAGCAAAAGCCCCACCCTGCTTCGGTTCACCTTCCATGGGCTGCACCCACTGCCTAACCAGTCCCAATGAGATGAACTGGGTTCCTCAGCTGGAAATGCAGAAATCACCTGCCTTCTGTGTTGGTCTCACTGGGAGCTGCAGATGGGAGCTTTTCTTATTCAACCATCTTGGCCCCTTCTTTGGATTTATTTTTTACAAAATATTTTCAACTGTATTAAGATTACATTTTGTACAACATCTGTGGCCATTTATTTTATTTTTAAACTTTTAATGGTACATAATAATTGTACACATGTCGGGGATACATGTGATATTTTGATATGTGTATACAATGTGTAGTGACCAAATCAGGGTAAGTGGGATATCTACCACCTCATACATTCATCATTTCTTTGTGTTGGGGACATTCAAATTCCTCTCTTCTAGCTATTTTGAAATACACAATAGATAGTCATTAAACTTGTCACCCTACTATGCCATAGAACATTGGAACTTATTTCTCCTATTTAACTGAAATTTTGTAACCACTAACCAAACTCTGCCTGTCTTCCCCTATACCCTTTCTAGCTTCTGTTAAGCATTATTCTATTCTGTACTTCTATGAGATCAACTGTTTTAGTTTCCACATATGAGTGAGAACATGTCGTATTTGTCTATATGTGCCTGGCTTATTTCACTTAATGTAATGTCCTCCAGTTTTATCCATTTTGCCACAAATGACAAGATTTCATTCCTTTTAATGGATGAATTCAATTCCATTGTATATTTAGACCACATTTTCTGTGTTCATTCATCCATTGATGGATACTCAAGTTGATTCTATATCCATATTTGTTTTTGGGTCAGTTTTGGTCATTTTTATCTTTCAAAAATTTTCCATTGCATCAGGCTTGTTAATTGATTTCCCTTTTAAGGTGTCTTGTTTTTATTCTCTTCAACTTAAAATTAAAATTTTATTTATGCCTTGGCTTATAACAGGTCAGGAAAACAAGACCCCTTCTATTATACAGTCTTAGTAATTGTGTGAATCAATACAAAATATTTGGAGTGTAATTTGGTGCCAAGTAATAACTTGTATAAAAAAGAAAAAAGTAATAACTTCAATACATCTGCATTTGACCCAGACATTCCAACTCTAGGGATCTTTTTTTTTTTTTCAGAAATATAATTGTTTGTATACTTACAAATATCCAAGAATATTTATAGCATCATTTTTTCATAATTACAAATGGAAACAACAATGAAAATTAATAAAGAGCTATCTAATAAAGAATAGGACATCCACATAATGGAATCTTATATTAAAAAAAAGAGGTAGAGTAATATGTGCTGATATGGAAAGATATATTTTATATGTTGTTAAATGAGAAAGAAAAGGTTGCAAACAGATTTTCACAGCCTCTACAAAAAAGAATATGGAGATACACGTTTGGAAACTTTCTCTAAAATTATATGGCAAGTAGTTGGGCTTGGGCAATTTAAGGAATTGGAAGAAAGATTAATCCCAATTTATACGCTTAGGCACCAATTGAAATTCTCAGATTTAACAGGTGTACTTTAAATACTTAAAATGAAAACCAAAATGCAGACAAATGTTTTATAATTCCTACTTTTTCTGTCTTACTCCAGCATTAGACAGATTTCCAATTTACATTTTGTCAGTTCCCCCAGGTTGCAAACATAACTGTGTACATACACTATCCTTATGCTGTCTCTACTTTACAGTGGTCCAACTGGTAATCAGTGACATGCCATGGAAAAAAAAAAAGTCTGGAAGAATCTTGCTGGAATACATACAGATGCACATATATTCAGAGGAGTGAAAGCCTGAGACAATAGAACAGAATAGAATTCGATTTAGGGGTAGGACCTCTTACAGTATTCTGTAGGATCCACAGGACTAAATGCAGGGGCCTTTTTAAAATGAATGAAGGAGTCATCAGGCTTTTTAGAAGATTTTTGGTGAAGTTAAGGCTTTGACCAAGATCAATAAGCAGCCTTTTTGGGGATATAGGTGCATGTTTTAGAGGCCAATTGTGGTGTCTCCTATTGGGGGAAGAGGGTTGATTTAGGCTCCGAATAACTAGAGAAACTTGAGAAAAGCCTAAGATAAAGGGCAGAGGGAGTTGACTATTTAGAATCTGAGACATCTGGAAACCTAGACCTGAGGCTTTGCAGGAAGGCAGCCCCAGTATTAAGAAGTCCCTGATTGGTAAGATTTCAGGTTTTCCAGCCAAACAAAAACTATCAAACGTTCTAAAACTTAATTGGTCAAAAATGGGAATGACTTAAAGTTTGTTCTGTTCCCACTAGACTCATTTCCTGGGGACTCCCTGAACATGAGCTAATTAAGAAGTGGTAACTTGGTGACTAAGTACCCTTGGGAAGAAAGGAAGTGGGCGGGGGGTGGAGAGAGAGAGGACCCTCAACTTTGTACAGCACTTATTTCTGGGCTTTTTTCTAACCTCCTCTGCGAGGACAGTTTCCTTCTTCACCATGAGTGGGGATGGCAGCAACTTGCTCTGGCCCCTGTGCGTGGCCTAGCACTAGCGGGACAGGAGGTAGCATCAGCGGAGCCCTAGAGAACACCAGAAGGGGTGGCCAAGCCCCTCCATAGAGGTGAGTGTCTTTCCAAGGGGTCTCCTCTATGAAGGAGAGGGTAAGAGCAGTTTAGGGTGGGACGTTCTGGGCCTACCAACCTTCTAGAACAAAGTCACCCAGGTCTTGAAGTGTGGGCTAGGGGAGCAGTACAGTGTATAGGCTCATCTCCAGATCTTTCCTGCATAGCAGAGAGCACTTCCGGCCCCTCTCAGACCCAATGCTAGACACAGTCACAGCTCCCTGACAGTTGGTGTCCTTCTCGCTCATGTTTCTTTATCCTGTGCTGGTTATGCAGAGGTTGTGGAAAAGCAGAACACTGAGCTTTCCCATGAATTCTGTCCCTGAAGCTTTTTTAACCATTAGTAAAACAGTGACATAGACAGGGAGGGGGTTACCTAAGCAAAGGAAGGGCAGGAGGGAAAATGGTAATGTGAGGCAGGAAGGAAAACCAACCAGAGTAGGATTGAAGGGATGTGGCCCAACCTGCCCTGGCCAGAACAAGTATTATTTAATCATATATTATCCATCCATCCATCCATACCTCATGTAGCGAAATTTGTCAGCACTACTTATTTTACATATATGATATATATATCTTATGTATTTAAATATCTTATAAATAAAATATATATGTTATGTATATTTATATAAGATATAGTTCATGTGTCTTATTTCATATATCTTATATAAATAAGATAAAATAAAAAATATAAGGTGTGGTAGTTAGCTGTGTGAGTGATGAAATCTGACAGACCTAGGTTCAAATCTTGACTCACACAGCTATTAGTTGGGTTACCTTGTGTAAATTAATACCTAATTTAATATATAAGATATATCTGTGATATATTTATTTCAGATAATATATATCTCTATATCTATATAAATTTATATCTATATATTATCTATATAAATCTATATCTATAGCTATGTCTCTGTTATATAATCTATATATCTATATATAATATAATATATATCTATATCTGTATATCTGTAATATATATCTCTCTATACATATTTCTATATCTATATAAAAAATATAGAGATCTTTATATATAAAAGATATAGAGATGCATATAAAAGAGATATATAATATGTATCTCTAGATCTATATAAAAGATATAGAGAGATATATATAATATATAACTATTTAATTTATGTATGTAAATTTTATGTGCCAGCCTCAGAATACAACAGTGAAGATATGTCCTAGCCCTCATGGAGTTTATATTCTAGTGTCGTAGATAAATAATAAATAAACTTAAATTTCCTCTCCCCCTTTCTCGCTTAATATTTTTCCCTGTGGCATGATAAATAAACTAAACTATTACATATTTTACTTATGTGTCTTGTGTGTGGTCTAGCCCCCACCTCTTCCTTGAATATAAGCTCCACAGGGCATGGAATTTTCTTTGTCCTGTTCATGACTACATTTGTTTATTGTTAAATGAAGGAGTGAATAATTAGACATAATACAAGGTAATAACAACCGTTATGAAAAAAACGGAAGTCCAAAAATGAGTGTGTCTTTTCTGTTTTTGGCAGAGTGATTGGAAAAAGTCTTTGGAAGGGGTGACATTTGAATAATGGGATGAAGCGACAGGCAGAGAGCCAGGCATCCTTAACAGCTGGCGGTCCCAGATCTATTCCTTATCTGTGCCAGGTGCCATCTTTCCTTCCTCCCACAACTTTGGAAGGAAAATGGAATTAGAGAAGAATGGATCTGTTCTGGGAAATTATCCCAAGCTCCAGAGTTCTCATTTAGAGATCTTGCTGCCCTGTAAAATGGAGATTTTAAAATCCAGAACAGCAGAGATGTTGGTCTTACATCCTCTGCCTCCTTTCTACTGGCCCCAAAAGTGGGTCTATGCATTACCATTACAGATGAGAGCTGGGGTTTAAAGCTCTCATCCTTTGAACATCATATAAAATGCCTTTGTGTCGTCTGGCACAATTAACCTAAGAGAAAGTAGGACAACTCCAGGACTGGAGGGACCTGATTGACTCACCTTCAAAACGGGCCTATTTAAAAGGTTTTAGCCTCTGGCCCCTGAGAGAAGGTACATCTTTCCATGGGGAAAACGGCAAGGAAGGTATTTCACCACCGGCAGAAAAAGATGTCTTCCCCCGTTCCAGGGGGCTGGTTATACAGGGAAATGAGAGCCTCACTTGTAGACTTGGGTGACAACATGTACCTCAAGCTACGTATGTGCCCAACACAGTAGCAGGGACGTGTCACCTGATTCTCAGGTTGGAAGTAGTTTCTTATCCTAATCTGTCTTCCTTCTCTCTTGAGAGCAGGACGATGTGGAGCAATGCACCTCTCTTTTAATCTCTGTGCTTCAAAAGAAGCAGAATCAAGGACTAAATGTTGGACAGCCACTCTAGTGCCACCGAATTCCACCTTCTAGGCTTCCCTGGGTCCCAAGGACTACACCACATTCTTTTGGCTATATTCTTTTTCTTCTATTTAGTGACATTAATGAGAAACATGGTCATCATCGTGATTATCTGTGTGGAGAAACGTCTGCAGTCCCCCATATATTTCTTCCTCAGCCACCTCTCTGCCCTGGAGATCCTGGTCACAACCATAATTGTCCCCATGATGCTTTGGGGATTGCTGCTCCCTGGGATGCAGACAGTATCTTTGTCTACATGTATTGCTCAACTTTTCCTGTACCTTGCTGTAGGGACCACAGAGTTTGCATTACTTGGAGTGATGGTTGTGGACCGTTACGTGGCTGTGTGTAATCTTTTAAGATACAACATCATTATGAACAGCAGTACCTGTATTTGGGTGGTAATAGTGTCATGGGTATTTGGATTTCTTTCTGAAATCTGGCTGGTCTATGCCACATTTCAGTTTACCTTCTGCAAATCAAATTCGTTAGACCATTTTTAGTGTGACCGAGGGCAATTACTCAAACCGTCCTGTGACAACACTCTTTTCACAGAGTTTATCCTTTTCTTAATGGCTATTTTTATTCTCATTGGTTTTTTGATCCCTACAATTGTCTCCTATACCTACATCATCTCCACTATCCTCAAGATCCCGTCAGCCTCTGGCTGGAGGAAAGCCTTCTCCATTTGTGCCTCCCTCTTCACCTGTGTTATAATCGGCTATGGCAGCTGCTTGTTTCTCTATGTGAAACCCAAGCAAACACAGGGAGTCGAGTACAATAAGATATTTCCCCTGTTGGTTTCCGTGTTAACCCCCTTCCTGAACCCTTTCCTCTTTACTCTTTGGAATGACAAAGTCAAAGAGGCCCTCCGAGATGGAGTGAAATGCTGCTGTTAACTCCTCAAAGATTAGCTGTTCTCTAAGTCAGTTTTAGGTGGTACAAGCCTCACGGTTAATTATTAAGTCACCTAGAAAATTCTAACTCCTCTTTTCTCTTATCATCATTACAAAAGTCAAAGAGTGTGTACAATTTGCCATCACACCATGGAAGTAGATTAGGCTGGTAATAATGAAATCCATTGTCTGCCCGGGAGAATCTCATAGCCTTAGTTCCTGCCTGTTTCCACTGTTGAACATATTCTTGTGTTTTGGGAGGGACTAGAGAAAGGAAATGCAGACATTTTTGTAAGAGTTCTATTAGCCCAATTCATTTCCTTATAGTCCATCTCTGAAAATGTATTTTCTGGGGAAGGGAGGAAGTGTGGAGGGAGGTGGACTGAGAGAGGTGTCCTAATCAGAGTACAAAGGTATAGATGCTCACTTTGGTCCTTCATCAACTGTTGCTGAGTCCTTCCCTATATTTTTGTGCAATTTTTTGACAAAATGGCTACATGCATTTTAGGTATCCTAAGGCTCTTTCTCTCTGCCCCATTGATACTGGAAAGGAAGTGTAACACTGTTTATGTTTTGTCACAGAACCAGTCTAGAGTGGTGATATGAGGATTGGAATGCTTCTCATTCAGCAGATATTTGTGGTGTAAAGAAGATAAAAATATTTGAGGATAAAAATGGGGGAAAAGTTATTTTTGCTAAGCTTCAGCATGTTCCTTTCACTGCCCTTCTTTGTGGCTAGTATAGGGACAGGGACAAATAAGAACTAAGTGACTAATTCTAGAGAGCATCCTGTATCTTATGGCTGTTTAAAACAACTATGTCTGTTCAGACTGTATCCAGATCTAGTCTTCAAACTTTATAATGTCTTTTGATTCTCCATCTCTCAAATCCAACCGTCTCAGCACCATCATGTATAGCTTCTCTGTGGGCAGAATTTTTTAAAAATAAGAGGCTACTCTTTTGACTCCCAGCTAGCTTTCTAGCAATTCCAGGGATTGGCTGTTTGGTAATATAACTGTTGGAATTTCACATAATATTGGAAGAAGTCCTTAAAAGGAAGAAGTTCACCTAAACAACAACAATCAGCAGATTCTACCAGCCCTAAAGTAAGTGAGAAAATTGAGCTGTTCAGCAGTGGGATGATGAGGCTACTGATAATTTTAAAGAGAAATGTGTGAGGATGCCATGTTGTCTTGTCCTGTGAGGAGTGAAAACCATCATGTATGTTTGGGTAGTTTGCATTGCATTAAAGTACCAGACAAGGTGGGGAATGAGCTTTAAATTCAGCCAACCCATGCTCTGCAAGTCAACCAATGGGCTCTGGTGGGACGGCATTGGCTGGAGAAAGGGGAGACTTCTGCTTAAACAAAGGTGCCCATGGTTTCCAAGCCCAGTAAATGAAGATCTGTTCCGGACCAGAAAGAATACCTTTTTTTCTAATGCATTAATCCAGAGAAGTATCCTTTAAGGGATGAGACAATAGAAGCTCAGAGAATTTAAATAACTTGCCAAAGTTTACCTAGCCATCCATCAGACTGGAAAAACATAAAACTCTGAGAATACTAAGTGTTGATCTGAATGCTGGCAAATAGGGTTTTTAAAAAATCAGCTTCTGGTAGAAATATAAGATATAAGATCCAAATAATTAGATAGTAGATATCTATAATTAAGTTATAGTACAGTCATAATTAGATAGTGGTAGTCCATTTTGCATTGCTATAACAGAATATAAATGATACCAGCCTGGATTACTTACAAAGAAAATAAACGTATTTGGCTTATGATTCTGGACACTGAGAATTTGTTTGGCTTATGATTCAAGAGCATAACACCGGCATCTGGCAAGGGCCTTTGTGCTGTGTCATCCTATGCCAGAGGTGGAAGGGCAAGAGAGGGCTAGAGTGAGAGAGCAAGAGAGGGCCAAACCCACTTTCATAACAAATCCACTCTCAGAATAACAAACTCACTCCTGTGAAAACAGCACTAATTCATTTATGAGGGGATATCCCTCATGACTTAATCACCTCTTAAAGGTCTTACCTCTCAACAATGTCACAGTGGTAATTAAATATCAACATGAGTTTTGGAGGGAACATTCATATCATAGCACTTCACCTCTCGTTCCCCAAAAGTAGCGTCCTTCTCACATACAAAATACATTCGTCCCTTCCCCATAGCTGCTAAATGTCTTAACTGATTCCAGCATCAACTCAAAAGTCCAAAGTCAAGTGTCTCATCTAAGTCAGATACCGGCGAGACTCAAGGCACGATTTATCCCAAGGAAAATTTCTCTTCATCTGTGAGCTTGTGAATTAATGTTACGTCTTTCCAAAATATGATGTTAGTCAGGTATAGAATAGACATTTCCATTCCAAAAGAAAGAAATAGGCAAGAAAAAAGAGATGACTGGTGCTAAGTAAGTCTAAAACCCAATAGGAAAAACAGCATTAAGTCTTTAAGCTGGAAAATAATCTCCTTTGACTCCATGTCCCACATCCTGGGCATGCTGGGGTTGGGGTTGAGCCCTCAAGCCTTTGCTGTGGTCAGTCTTCTCAGCAGCTCTCACAGGTTAGAGTCTAGGGCCTGCAGTTCTCCCAAGCTGGCACTGCACACTAGTAGCTCTGCAGTTCTTGAGTGTCAGGCAGTTCTGCTCCCACGGCTTCACTAGGCATCCCCTGGTGAAGACTTTCTGTGGTGACTTTGCTCCTGCAGCAGGTTTCTGCCTGAGCCCACAGACTTCACGTGGCATCCTTTGAAATCTAGGTGGAGGAAGTCGTGCCTCCATAGCTCTTGCATTGTGCATGCCTGTAGAAATAACACCAAATGGATGCCACCAAAGTCTACCATTTGTACCTTCCTTCCAGAGTGGTAGGTCAAGCCACACCTGGCGTTACTTGAACCACACCAGGAGCAGCCAAAGAACACTGTCCTGGAATGCAGGGAGCAGCAACTCCACGTGGCCTGTGAAGCGTATCCTGTGGCCATTCCCCAAAGCCATTCTGCCCTCCTAGATCTCTAGGCCTGTAATGGGATGAGCAGCCTCAAAGATCTCTGAAATGCTCATTGTCTTGGTGAGCCCTTTTATTTATACTAATCTCATTAGCAAATGGTCACTTGATCACACCCTTGGTCTGTTCTCTTAAACACATTTTTTCATTCTTTATGTGGGCAGGCTGAAAATTTTCAGAATCTTTTCATTCTGCTTTTATTTTTTAAGTTATAGATTTCATCTTTAAGTTATTTCTTTTCTCTTACATTTTACTGTATATGGTTAAAAGTAGCCATGCAGATCCTTCAATATTTTGCTTAGAAATTTCTTCCACCAGATAGTCTCATTAATCACTCTTAAATTCTGCCTTCCATAAAACCCATGGGCATAGACACCGATATAATTTTAATCTGTGTCCCTGCCCAAACCTTATGTCGAATTGTAATCCCCAATGTTGGAGGTGGGACCTGGTGGGAAGTGATTGAATCATGGGGGCAAATTTCTCATGAATAGTTTAGCACCATTCCCCTTGGCACTGTCCTTATGATAGATCGTGAGTGATTTCTCATGACACCTGGCCATTTAAAAGTGTGTAGCACCTCCCTTCTCTCTCTTGCTCTTGCCCCTGCCATGTAAGATGCCTGCTTCTCCTTTGCCTTCAGCCATGATTAGAAGCTTCTAGGGACCTTCTGAAAAGCAGAAGCCACTGTGCTTCTTGTACAGCCTATAGAATCATGAGCCAATTAAAACTCTTTTTTTTTATACATGTCTCAGGTATTTCTTTATAGCAATGTGAGAACAGACTAACACAGGCACAATTCAGTTAAGTTCCTTGCCACCTCATAAAAAGAATGGCCTTTAATTTAAAAAAAAAAAAAAAAAAAAGATGGACATTCCTCTTTTCTGACTCAGCTTTCATCAAAATGGCCATTACTTTTCATATTTCTACCAATATTCTGATCATGACCACGTAAGTAATCTTGTAAAAGTTTCAGATTTTTCTACATTTCTTCTTTTCTTCTGAGTTCTTACCAGAATTTCCCTTAACGTTCAATTTACGGTAGTCTAGGATTTTTCTAGCCTACCTTTCCAAATTCTTCCAACCTCTGCTCATTACCCAGCTAAAAGCCACTTCCACATTTTCAAGTATTTGTTATAGCAAAAGCCCCACTCTTGGTGCACATTTTCTATCTTAGTCTATTTTTTGTTGTTAGAATAGCACAGGCTAAGTAATTTATAAAGAAAAGAAGTTTATTTGGCTCATGATTTTGGAGGCTGAGAAGTTCAAAGGCATGGTGCTGGCATTGCCAAGGGCCTTCATGCTGTGTCATTCCATGGTGGAAGGCAGAAATGCAAGAGGGAGAGAGAACAAGAGAGGCTGAACTCTCTTGCCCTCTCATGAATTTATTCATGCTCATGAAAATGAATCCACTCCCCCAATAATGACATTAATTTATCCCTGAGAGCATAACCCTCATAACCTAATCACCTCTTAAAAGTTCCACCTCTCAACACTATTACAATGGCAATCAAAGTTCAACATGAGTTTTGAAAGGGATATTCAAACCACAGCAGTAGGAAACCTAGGAAACATGTACTATGCATACGCTATGGCCTATTTTTAAGTTTGTTAATTCTTTCTTCAGCTATGTTGGGTCTACCAATGAACCTATGAAAATAATTCCTCATCTCCCATATCGTGGTTTTATTTATAACATTTCCATTCTATTCTTTCTTGTAGTTTTAAACTGTCTATCAGAAACCCTTTCTTGTTTATGCATGTTGTCCACCTTTTCAACATCATTTAACATTTTCATTACACATATTATGTTTGCACTAAGTGAATATTTTCTATGACAATCAACCCTTCATATCCGTGGATTCTTCATCTTGGATTCTACCAACTGCAGATAAAATATATTTGGGAAAAAAAGATTGGTTGTCTATGTACTAAACATGTACATGCTTTTTAAAAATCATGATTTCCTAAACAATATAGAATAACAACTATTTACCTTGTATTAGGTAT